AGAGAGAGAGAGAGAGAGAGAGAGAGAGAGAGAGAGTATCGAATACATCTTGGTTAAACATCGTAGTAACAAGACTAGGCCAAGATATTTCAGTTTGGTCATGTTGTCTCTTCTCAGTGATTTCTGTCATTCCAATATTTCCAATGTTCAAGGATGCAACAAGAACCTGTGAAAATCATGATTTAGAATGACATATAAAATAATAAATTATGATTTGTCAAAAAAAAAATAATAAATAAATTACGTTCATATCCTCTATAATTCATGTTATTTAAATCTACCTATATTTTTAGTGTTATTATATTTAAACCCATTTTTTTTCAATTTTTGAAATGACTAGATTTTATCGGATTTTCAATATCTGAAAATAGCCTGTTAAAAACTTAGTTATTTGTTTATAATTTTTGGATTTTCAAAATCCAAAAATGCAAATTAAAGTTAATGTGTATTCTTGGATTATGAATATCCAAAATATATAAGCAATTTTTGAAATTCTTAAAAACCAGAATTATTTAGCCCAAAATTTATTAAATCTTTAGTAAAGTTACGACTGTCAAGATTCGAATTTGTTCATGACATATATAAAATCTGAGATGGGTGTTTTTCTTAAAAAGAAAGCCAAGTCTATTTTCAGACTTTGAAGATCCAAAAATGGAGTTAATTTTTGAAATTGAAATGTTAAAAAGGGTAGTTTAGGAACAAAAAAGCCCAAAATATTGGTATGAATATAAATTTTAGAATTTGGGGGTTATTTTTCTAATAATGTGAAAAATAGGATATACGGGTAATTTGCTCTATATAAAATACTTGTTATTTCCAGAAAATCAGTGATAGCATATTTCACCAATCATCTTTTTCTGAAACATGAATTACCGAATTTCTAGTAAGTGTTTGGGGGAAGATTAAATTAAGCATGACTTCGAAATCCAATGATGATTCAGTGAAGTGAAGTGCTCCTAAGAATGAAGAATAAATTATAGGTTTCATGCCTCTTTCACGATAAATTTTATTGGTCCAGTGAGTCCATCATATCATAGGCCAGCATTGACAAAATAATATGATATATTGTGATTAATCATCAGTTTAGTCGGCACAGTTTGCAAGAATAACTCAAAGTACCTCACATAGCCATTCCAATGCAATTACAAAGGTGAAGAAGATTGATGAATGAAAATAGCTTTAATTATGAGAAGCCAGCCCCAAAAGCTGATCTATATTTAATTGAAAAATGAACTCAGTTTTACCTCACATATCCATTACAATGCAATTAGAAGGTGAGGAAAATTGATGAATAACTTACATAGCTTTAATTAGACGGGCAAGACCCAAAGGGTGATATCTATATTTAATCAAACAATGTCCTCCAATTTACGCGAGAGAGAGAGAGAGAGAGAGAGAGAGAGAGAGAGAGAGAGAGAGAGAGAGAGAGAGAGAGAGAGAGACGTAGAACGTCGTAACGTACGTACGTACGTACGTACGTACGTACG